CATTCCTAAGGGGGGAGATGTTACGTGCCGCAACTTATAGTTTCTTAGATTACTCTTTTATTCGAACCTTTGTAACCTTTTTTATCTTTACTCCTTCTTGATCCTAAACACATGACCCTTCGATAACTGCAATAAACATAAACGCTGTCCCTATGCCTAACGCATATTTCTTTTGACAAAACCGCCTCCTTCCAATAAACATTCCGCCGCTACGATTTTCCTACAGCACCTTAAACGAAGATCATTCTCGCCAGTTCAGTTCTCGATCAAAGCTCAAACCAGCAACACCGAATAAAGACTTTTTCCACAAACGTGTCCCGACTTATTCTAAATAATCTATTACGTAGCTATACGCTCGTAACAACGCTCGCCGGAACGGCCTGTCCTCTCAAGCCGCGCGATCGCGATACCTACGATCTATTCAGTAGCGTACAATTAATTTAACTTCTCTTTTACTCGAGAATTCTCGACATTCTTCCCACCTTGAAAGACTGTCTTTCAATTATGATTACAATGCGTACCAACCTTTATCTTTGGTTCGATAAAACAAATACTGATATAATTAAACTTTAGTAACTAACAAAACATAAAAACGCAAGAACTTAAACTATTTTAGAGTATTACAAATAAATATCTTCGCAAATAAAATACTGTAATCTAATTAATACATAGTTTATAATCGCTAATCGGTAGCGGACAGAGTTTTTTAATGGGTCTCTTGAACGCTCCAACACTGGTCTTGACTGTGGCGACTCGCACAATCCCGTCATCACCTGGAAAGGTCTCAGTTACTCTGCCCAGTTTCCAATTCAACGGAGGCAGATTGTCGTCTTTCATCAGCACCATATCACCAGGTTCTACGCTCTTTTGCCCCGAGAACCATTTGCTTCTTGTCTGCAAGGTTTGTAAGTATTCTCTGTGCCATCGCTTCCAGAAATGTTGCCGAATCTTCTGAAGATGCTGCCATCTAGAAAGTCTATTTTCTGGAACATCTACGAAATTATTCTGCACAGGTTCTGATAGAGAGTTTCCGATAAGGAAGTGGGTGGGAGTTAAGGCTAACAAATCATTAGAATTGGAGGACAAGGGTGTGAGGGGTCTCGAGTTTAGAACTGCTTCAATTTCTACTAACAACGTGTTATACTCTTCGTATGTCAGAGCAAGTCCTCGTGTATTTAGATGCCGCTTCATAGCCTTCACCGCCGCTTCCCATAACTCCTCGAAGTGAGGTGATCTGGGTGGAATGAATTTCCATTTAATCTTCCGAGTTGCTAATTCATTGCTGATTTCATCTTCTTTATTTGCTAAGAAATCGTAGACTTCTCTTAATTCTCGCGCTGCGCCTACAAAGTTTGTAGCATTATCTGAATATAATTGCGAACATATTCCTTTTCGAGCCACAAATCTTCTCAAAGCTGCTAAAAATGCTTCTGTAGTTAAAGCCGTCACCAATTCTAGATGCACCGTTCGCGTGCTAAAGCATACGAAGACCGCTACATACGCCTTTGCAACGTGGACTCGACCTCGTCTCCTGCTTTCTTTCATTTGAAACGGGCCTGCGTAGTCAATCCCGGTAACGGTGAAAGGTCTCGAAGTTGCGGTAACCTTAGTTTTCGGGAGATCTGCCATTCTCACGTCAGGCGTACGAGGTTTGTAATTGAAACATCTAACACAACTTTGTGTTATCTTTTTAGCTTCTCGGCGACCATTTAGTGGCCAGTACTTTTGCTGGACAAAACTTAATAGTTGCTCCGGTCCACAATGTAATCGCATGACGTGTTCTTCTCGAAAAATCAGGTTGACTATGCGATGTCTCGCCGGTAGAACTATCTGATGCTTATGGTCAGGAGTAAGGTCTGCGTTCCGAAGTCGTCCTCCTATTCGAATTATCCCTTGGTCGTTTATCTTAGCCAGCTTACTGGCTTTGCTGATTGGCAGCAGTAATTTCAAATCTTTGATCTCTTGAGCAAAAGCTTCTTGCTGAATAATTCGTAGAATAGATGTTTCTGCCTTGTTTAGCTCTTCAAGCGATAGTGACCCAATTTTTCTTCTTTCTTTCAGATTTGCTATAAATCTGTGGCAAAAGGCGACTATACGTCGTAATTTATGATACGAGGAATATTTAATTAAAAATTCTGGCGGAGCATACGATGTTGCTGCCGATACCACCGTTTTTCTTTCCGAAATATCCACCTTAGACAAATTCGGTTGCTGGGGCCACAGTTGTTTTGATTTGATCCACTCCGGACCTTCCCACCATAGCTTACTCCTTTTTAGTTGCTCTGTTGTGATGCCTCTAAATAAGAGGTCCGCTGAATTATCCTCCGATGGAACATGATTCCAACATGCTTTAGGTGACAGTTCTTGTATTTTTGCGACTCGATTGGCCACAAACGTTTTTAACTGATTAGGCGGTGTCTTTATCCATTCCAATGTTATCGTTGAGTCACTCCACAGATAGACACCATTAATGTTCCCTTGACAGGCTCTCTTGACTAAATTTAGTAACTCCACCAATAGCAAGGCGGCGTATAGTTCTAGCCTTGGCAACGATATGACCTTTAGCAGTGCCACTCTTGCTTTTGAGCAAATTAAATGAGATGTTACTCTCCCATTTCTATCGTAACTGACGGCATACAAGCACGCACCGTAAGCCTTCTCCGATGCATCTCCGAATCCCACAAGGTCCATTTTTTGTGCTTTATTGACTGCGTTTACATTTCGAGGAATTACTAACTCGTTAACTCTATGAAGAGAGTCATAATAAGATTTCCAAGTGGTATACAACGATACAGGTAGGGGATCGTCCCAGCCTATCTTTAATTCCCACAGCTGTTGCATGAAATTATTATCTTGAAATTTATGAGCACCGGTCCTATTAATCCTAAAGGATCATAGACTTGTGCTATTCTTGACAGTACACTACGTTTGGTTACTCGTTCTTCCTTTGACGTCATGACTTGGTAATGCAGTGTATCTTCCCTGGAGTTCCACAATAATCCTAAGGTTTTTTGAGCTTCTTCGCCGTTAATGATAAGAAGATTATCCGTCTTGCCTTCTTCAATTAAGTGGTTCAGTAATCTTGAGTCATTTGATCTCCATTTTCGTAACGCAAATTGTCCACGTGTGAGAAGCTTTGTTAATTGTTTCTGCAATTGCATCGCTTTTTTTAGACTGCTTGTTCCCGTTAGAACATCGTCCATATAAAAGTCGCTCTAGAGCCTTTACCGCTAAAGCCAAATCCTCTTCTTCTTCAGTTCCTTGTTCAATAGTGATTTCCGATATTTCTGTGTTAACCAATTTTTCTGATTCACAAACCGAGAGCTCCTTTCTTGCTTCTATAGCTATCTCCTTTAGGCAATGCATGGCTAGATATGGGGCGCTGGTCGTGCCATAAGTGACCGTATTTAAGGTGAGCACCTGCATTGGGGAATCCAGATTTTTACGCCAAAGTATTTGCTGTAGGTGACGATCTTCTTCAGCTATCAAGATCTGCCTAAACATTTTGATAACATTTGCGGTTAGGACATATTTGTGTGTGCAAAATCTTATGATAATTTCTAGTAAGTCATTCTGTAAATTCGGTCCTGCTAATAACTTATCGTTCAGCGAAGCTCCCGTCGATGTTTTGGCTGATACGTCAAATACTACTCTAAGTTTTGTTGTCAAATTATCAGGTCTCAATACTGGTTGATGCGGTAGGAAGCAGTGTTCTTTCGATTTGGAATTTTCTCCCGCTATGTACACCGACGCATGGCCTAATGCTAGGTACTCGTTTATAAACTCCGCGTATTGCTGTTGTATTTCTGGTTGTTTTTTTAGACGTCGTTCCAGCGCATGTAATCTTTTAAGTGCTAGTTCCTCTGAATGTCCTAGAACAACTTCCGGGTTCTTCGGAAGTCTCACGACAAATCGTCCATTAGCTTGTCTCCTGACCGTATCACGGAAATACTTTTCGCATGCTTGCTCTTGCTTTGAGTAGATCGGCGTTTCAACAATCTCCTCTTGTTTCCAGAATCGTTCTAGCTGAGTTTGCAGTTGGGTGATAGTTGCCAAATGAAAGACTGCCCCTCTAGGTTGTTTTGCTGACAAGGGATACCCGCATAACCTGAGTCACCGATTTGGCTGAAATTTTACAGGTACGTAGTACTAGTATAGTAGTAAGTAATGTTATACGGAGACGATGCACTATTCAGCCGTTTATGAGAAATCGCTGTTTGAAGTTTATCATGTCGTATAAGTACTATGCAATAAAACATATTTCAAACAGCAGCGTGGCGCAGCGGAGTAAGGCGAATATTAGAGATCTAAAGGTGCGGGTTCAATTCCATATATATATATATATTATTTTTAATTTTCTAATAGAAAATGTTCTTAAAATGCATAAAATATAACAAATATATATTATATAGTGTTTAATAAACCAAAAATCTGTAAATTTAAACTTTGTGTAATTTTATAGTTTTAAGTTTTAATAGTTTATATATATTTATTGTTAGGTAGGTATATTACTTCACCCATCACTACAGACACAGAACTTATTTTATCAGGTGGAGTATCAGTTAGAAGATGCTCCGCCTCCAGCAAACTATTGCAATATTTAACAGCATTCGTTAATTCGCCCTTAAAATCTTCAGTTTGCAAAAGTTTTTCACGCTCCTCGTCTATTTGTAACTGATCTATTGCCGTAGATGGACCCGGTTGATCCATTTTAAAAACTGTTAGTAAAAGGTTTTCGTACAACGTTCTCAACGATAGTTCACGATCAACTAACGGTTTCTGAAGTATAGACTACCTGAAAAGGGCGCAGTCTCTTGTTGTTAGGCAAGAGAGGGGAACTTAAAACGAGAAATTGTCTAAAGAAAAGGGACTGCAGCTGTATCGCAAAATAATAACGATAATATATATATAAAGACATAAAAAACATTTTTAATGCTAGAAATTTTGTTATACGTACTTCTTTTATTGTACTTACTTTTTTATATTTAATATTTAATATTTTTATATTTTAATAAATAAATGAATAATTATTAAAAAATATATGCATAATCACCATTTATTTTACCTTAATAATACAAATATCTTGCCACCTACCTAACAATAAATATATATAAACTATTAAAACTTAAAAAAACTATAAAAATTACACAAAGTTTAAATTTACAGATTTTTGGTTTATTAAACACTATATAATATATATTTGTTATATTTTATGCATTTTAAGAACATTTTTTCTATTAGAAAAATTAAAACAAAAATATATATATATATATGGAATTGAACCCGCACCTTTAGATCTTTAATATTCGCCTTACTCCGCTGCGCCACGCTGCTGTTTGAAATATGTTTTATTGCATAGTACTTATACGACATGATAAACTTCAAACAGCGATTTCTCATAAACGGCTGAATAGTGCATCGTCTCCGTATAACATTACTTACTACTATACTAGTACTACGTACCTGTAAAATTTCAGCCAAATCGGTGACTCAGGTTATGCGGGTATCCCTTGTGAGTTGATTATCTCGCCTCCGAGAATCCATCCCAATTGTGTCTCTATCAGCGTCGGCTGATCTTTCTCTTGTTTGATATGACCCATGCGCATCAGTGACCAAAATAAACCTGCTCTGATAAGCAGGTCTATCTCGCCTGGCGTTCCATAAGCAGGATCAGCTAACTGCCCATCTTCTGGTAAGTTTAGTATTGCGTTGAGTTTTATCTGCGGAATTTTCTCCGTTATCGTTGGTAGTATCAAGCAATCCAAAGTTGTACTAAAGTTGTTATACATCGACTTCAATTTGATCCGGGCGGATTGCTGTACTCTCGTTTGAGATCGATTTATGCCGCTTATAGGCACATTCTCCTTTGTTGTTGAAAGCTTCAATCGTATCAAACTGGAAGTGACCAAATTGGATTGTGAACCTGGATCCAGAAGGACTCGACTTCTTTTTTGATTGCCGTATACGTCGCAAACGTACACTTGGGCGGTTGAGAGCATCACATGACTAATGGACTTCCTTGAGCAATACGTAGCCATCGCTGTCTCTCCTGCGTTGATTAGTGAGCCTTCACTTTTCAGTGTTGTCTGCTGTTTGTTTTCTGCTACTTCCATTATGCTTCTGCAAGCGCTATGAAGCCCAACAGATTGTGTTTTTGATGTTCCTTCAGGTTGAGAAGAAGGCTGTCTCGATTCTACGTGCAATAATGTGTTGTGTGATTTCGAGCAATTTCTGCATCTCGTTGATTTGCAAGTTTTAGCTAAATGCCCTTTTCTGAGACAATTCAAACATAACCCTCTTTGCATGACCTCTTCTCGCCTTTTAGTTTCCGATAGCTTTAAAAACTCTTCGCATTTGTATAGGAAGTGGTCTCCCTCATAGAAAGCGCATTTTTCTGCACTCGTTGCAACAAGCGCTACTCGTTTCTCGCTCCCAATGTTTTTCTGTGTCGCCTGCTTATATAATTCCTGTTTTAGCTTTCCTTTGTCCAGCATTTCCAGCGTGCTACAACGTTCACCTAAATAGTTTAACAACTCCTCCATGGTTGGCATGTTTTGCTGCTCTCGCTTACTTATTGTTACCTCCCAATCGCGTCTCGTGTTGTAGTCTAGCCTTGTTGAAGCTAAGTAGATGAGTAGCGTGTCCCATTGCTCGACTGGCTGACCCAATGACCTTAGCGCTCGTGTATGCGTACGAATATGATCTATAAAGGTCCTCAGACTTGCAGTACTTTCCTTTGAAACAACCGGGAACTCTAATAATTCTTTTGTGTGAGTGTTAATTATCAATCGCTTATTCTCGTAACGCTTTACTAGTAATTCCCATTCTATATCGTAGTTTTGCACGGAAGTGTTTAATGAGTTAAGAATTTGAAGAGCTTCACCTTTTAATGAGCTTCGTAAATATTGGAATTTTTGAATTGCGGATAAACTTCTATTGTTATGTATTAACGACAGAAACGAGTCCTTAAACAAAAGCCAAATGCTCATATTGGCTCTCAAAAGTCGGTAGGTTCAAAATGGGTAATTTAACATCAATTCGATTTCTGCCGATGTGGCCTTCTGCATCTTGTGTATTTGCTTGCACACGGGCTTCGTTTACATTCTCGGCCTTGGCTACCCTGAGTTTTGCTTGCGCGTTCGCTTCCAATTCTAAATACTGTTCTTCGAATGCTGCTCGTTCATTTGCGTTTCTATCTGCGACTGCTTCATCTATTAGATCACCCCTTTCATCTAAATTAAGAAGCTCTATACCTTCTTGTACTTCTTCGAATTTACGCCATACTTCTTCTATTTTCGATAGTCTAACCTCAATTTTTACTGCCTCTCGAGCTGCTTCCGACTCAATAAATGCCTAAAATCTCGTTAATTGTGCTTTTAAACTACCTCGCTTGAAATTTAATTGTTTTAATTCTGACATTTTACCTTTTTTTTTTTGAGAAATTCACAACCAAATTATGGAATCTGCAATGAGAATAAAGGATTTGATGGGATGGGATAAGAACTCACTAACCTGTCCTGTACAGTTCCGTCGGCCAATCCTGTGAAGATGCGCTTTTGCAGGTTGCTTTTCGTCCTGTTAAGAATGCTTGGAGATCCGTCGTTGTGTGTGTGTGCGTGTATGACGCCGCTCGTTGCATGTGAGTTTATGCGTATGGGTGCCGCTGCTTCCTGTATGTGAGCGTATGTATGACGCTGTTCCCTGTATGCGAGCGTATGTATGACGCTGTTCCCTGTATGTGAGCGTATGTATGACGCTGTTCCCTGTATGTGAGCGTATGTATGACGCTGTTCCCTGTATGTGAGCGTATGTGTGACGCTGCTTCTTGTTGACCGGCGAACTACCGAGTCTTACCACACTTTTCCGAATTTTCGGTTTATGTTCGGGCGCCAATTTTATGTTGGGTTCTCTGGGTAGTCGTTTATAAATGTTTGCTAACAATTGCACTACAAAGTTCGTTTTATTGAAAGACGCTTGTACACTCGCGTGTCCTTACTTCGCCATCTTAGTTATTCTTTTTTTGCACGCTCGCCGGAACCTGTCTTCTCAAGCCGCGCGATCGCGATACGTACGATCTATTCAGTAGCGTACAATTAATTTTACTTCTCTTTTACTCGAGAATTCTCGACAATTAACACAGTAAATTAATTACTTTTTTTTAAATAAATTTCAATTATGGAAAACAAATCAATATATGCAATTGTTAGATTAATCTGATAATTTAAATGCAACAATTGTTACATTTAATTTTTTACATTTTCACAACAGTTTTCAATATTAAAGTATAAAAGAATTGTAATTTAAACATAATTTTGTAATGATTTTAGATTACATTTCTACGGTAGAAAATTGCAGTCTTCATCAGATGCAGAAAGTTATCTAAGAATGGTTGCAGCATACAGGAAATCGCCTCCATTATTTATTGAAAAAGATGGCATAATATAAAGTGACATATAAGTAGTGATATAAATATATATTTTTATAAGTGCAAAATGTATTTTTATAAGTGTTACAAATATACATATGTATATTTATATTTTATACATATTTTAACATGTCTTGATATAGTTTATATAAGAAATATTATGTAAAAGTTATGTTTATAAGTATTATGTAAAGAAATATTAATAATAAAATATTAAAATGTAACAAATTTAAAAATATTCTATTGTAAAATAATTACTCAAGTAGCAAATAATCGTCATGTAATGTTTTTTTATCGTTATAATTGGTTATTATATAATATTATATAATAATCAATTATGATGATAAAAAAACATTAGATGACGATCATTTGCCACTTGAGTATAAAATCATTATTTTAATGAAACGTTTGTCTTAAGGGCATCTTAAAATAAGTCTCATAGTCGTCTTATAAGACAAATCAAGAGACATCTTGAAAACGTTTCTAAATCGTCGAAAATTGTTACATAAAACGTCTCACAGACATTTTAAATACGTCTCTCTGACAGTTTCGTAAGACGTCTGAGTGATTTTAAGGTGTCTTTCAGACAAACATAAGACGACATAATGTTGTGTGGGATATATACGTATTTTTGAGCAACACACGGATTACAAGAGGGAGTATTAAGAAAAATATAATTAGTGTATAGAAATGTATGTGTACGTGTGTGATGTGGTGAACGTTGAGTGCTAGAGCGGTGTACGCATGCGGGAGCACGAGGAAGGCACTTGTGCTTCGCGAATAACGTATGTTCGTTCGCCAGCCGGCCGCGTAGCAAGTCAAATGTGCGTTTTCGAAAAGCTCTAACTGTGTTACTTTGCTGAATAATATGTACTTTTGTAATAATAATAAACTATGTGCAATAAATTCATATTGAACATTAATGATACCTTGCTTTGCGTGTAAGTAACAAACTCATATGAAATAATAAAATTATGGACCTCGTTTTACACTTAAAGTATTGGTCGATGTGGAGAATCCCGAATCCCGCTTCGTGTGGAAGGTTCAATTCAGACTGTCCGTTTCTAACCTACATATGTCCGTTTTCATCTGTATTCAAATCTTCCTGTGTCTGTTTGCAACCTTCATGTATCTTCATAAGTCCATTTAGAATGTCCGATTTACTACATCCGTCTCGTTCATACAACTTATTTCTTAAACTTTGTGTGCATCTGGGACCCTTGCAATGTTGAACAGAACTTATGCTATTTACAGATCGCTAACCTCAAAACCAAAGGGCCTAAGATAGAGATGGCCTGAAACTTATTTTAAAATAAGCCGAGATGTATCCAGGATTGTAACGCTAATGAGTATGATAATGATAGATTTTTATTAATTATTAATTTTATTTAATTAAGATACATGAAGGTACACACTTTTTTGCTTTTTCTCTATTTCCTTTCTCATCGAGCGTACTTTTGAGCAAAAGAATAGATTTTAAGAATTACATACTTTTATTAACATATAATTTACTTATTTTTTGCATATTTGCAGTTATATAAATTAGTAATATATTTATACAATTTCCACGCATATCATTTTTTTGTTTCGTGATGTTTAATTAAATTAGAAGTCCCACCATATGTATCCTTTTTATTTATTTGGGAATTCGACTAATTATATGATATTATTTGATTTTTTATGTTTAATAATGTATAAATAAATGTATTTTAAAATATAATTTATTGAAAACTAAATCAAAAGATTATATTTTTTTATTACAATTATTTAATATCCCTTAGGAAATTCACAAATAATGATAATTTTATTCATATATATGAATGTATGAAATATTATCAGTGAAAATATAATAGTATAAGAAAATAAATTCAAAAATTGAAAAAAGCTGAAGAAAAGCCCGAGCTGGTTTATGATTGCTCTTATAAATTTCTACATTATTCAAGTGTACAAACGTTTCGGCACAATTTTTGTGGCCATCTTCAGTGTGCATACAACCTTATACTAATATATCATTATAAAAAAACTGAGTGTACGCAAATTACAAAATATAGATGAAAATTGTTATCTTAATCGTTAAAAGAAATCGGTGTTGTCATCTTACTTGATTGTTGCATCTTCATATTATAAATCGAAGCAAATCAGAAAATTGTCTATAATAAAGTTCAATAAATAAAAGCCAAAGTCTTCGGTGTCTCAAAGTTAAAAAGTTAAAAGCTTTGCCAGTTGTCCTCAATAAATGAGTACACAAATAGATAAAACAGCTGTTAGAATCCTTTTTTTCAAAAACGAAACAATGTTCATCCATCTTGTAAAATTATAAAAAAGTTAGTTAAAAAAATCATATAATCGAAACATCCAAATCTTTTAACAATACAAAGCGAATGAAACATACCTCAATGCACAATGAGTCGACGATCGGATTGTAATGCATGTTAGTAAAAAGAACTCAGAAAAAGTCTCTTCTATGTCTTATAAACTCGAAAAGTTGTTAGAACGATTATGAGAACAACTCGACAAATAATTAGAAAAATAAAAGGAAGGAATTAGTGAAGATGAAAGAAGAGACAAACAAGGAGAGGATATCTAAAAAGTGGCAAATTTTTTGAAGACCGATAAATGAGAATTAGAAAAAAGTTTAGTGTCACTTTGCTTGTTGAGACTATTATTTTGTTCTTTAATATGTAACATTTCCGAAATCAATCTATTACTATATGTGGTTTCTTTACCCAAAATTTCTACATGTCCATTTCCAATCAAACTGCTTGTATTCTAACTTATGGCAGAATATGATTGAAGGAGAACCTGAACTTTTATTAAATTTATTAAAACGGGTAAAGGACAGATTAGATCCAATGCAACAAAGCGGAGTTGTATACAAATTGTATATTTCATGTCACGTGAAGCCACATATGTTGATCAGACTAACAATAAGAGACAGATTAGAACGAGAATTAAGGAACACCGTTCTGACATTAATAAAAGATCAGGTTTTTCTTAAGTCATATCCTGCCATAAGTTAGAATACAAGCATAAGTTCGATTGAGAACATGTAGAACATTTGGATAAAACATGTAGAAATTTTGGATAAAAAAACTACATATAGTAAAAGACTAATTTTGGAAATGTTACATATCAAAGAACAGAATAATAGTCTCAACAAGCAAAGTGACACTGAACTTCTTGCTAATTCGTATTTATCGGTCCTCAGAAAATTTCCCATTCTTTAGATATCCTCTTCTTGTTTCTCTCTCCTTTCATCTTCACTAATTCCTTCCCTTTTTCCTTCTTATCCTTTCCTATTTTTCTAATTATTTGTCGAGTTGTTCTCATAATCGTTCTAACAACTTTTCGAGTATATAAGGCATAGGAGAGACTTTTTCTGAGTTTTTTTTACTAGCATGTATTACAATCCAATCGTCGACTCATTGTGCATTGAGATATGTTTCATTCGCTTTGTATTGTTAAAAGATTTGGATGTTTCGATTATATGATTTTTAACTAACTTTTTTATAATTTTACAAGGTGGATGGACATTGTTTCGTTTTCGAAAAAAAGGATCCTAACTGTTTTATCTATATGTGCGTTTATTTGTTGAGAACAACTGACAAAGCACTTTTAACTTTTTAACTTTAAGACACTACTTTGGCTTTTATTCATTGGACTTTATTATAGACAATTATTTGGTTCGCTTTGATTTATAATATAAAGATGCAACACTGAAGTAAGATGACAACACCGGTTTTTTTTAACGATTGAGATAACAATTTTCATCTGTTTTATAATTTGCGTGCGTTCAGTTTTTTATAATAATATGTTAGTATAAGATTGTATGTACACTGAAGATGGCCACAGAAAATATACCGAAACGTTTGTACACTTGAATAATATAGAGATTTATAAGAACAATCATAAACCAGCTCGGACTTTTATTCAGCTTTTTTCAATTTTTGAATTTATTTTCTAATGTTAAAGCCCATTTTCATTTTTTTTATAAATAACATAATAATAGAAGTCATTTATAATTTACATAACTAATATATGTGTTATGTAATAAAAATATCTATAATTTTTAGAATCTATTATTTTTAAACTTTAATAATTTTTATAATTATATAATTTTACATAGATTAGTATAATAATTTTCTACACAACGCAAGGTCTACCTTATGTTATCTAGTATTATCAATGCAAAATATCTATACTTGTACAATTTTATGTGATTATTTCTTGTAACAATTTCATATGTGCAATTTTTCACAAAAAAAACGTGGTCTATTTTATATTACCCAATTACAAACACCAAATCCATTTACTTCAGTTTTATTTGTGATCGTATTTGTTTATGACAATCTTCCCTATACATATGTACAGGGTATATAAAAAAAAGATCGGAACCCCAGCAGGATGGTACAAGACCGCATTTTGGCAGGAACGTTCGTAATTATTTGAACACAGTTTTTCCTTATTGATGGATAGGCAAAAGAGGAAGAATCGAGTGGACACCTCGATTGCCTGATTTATCGGTGCTTGATTACTTTCTGCGGGGTTGTCTAAAAAATAGAGTACATAAAACAAAACC